ACATACAATCATTTTTTGTTATATAAAATATGATTTTTACACTTATACATTATTGGTATATGTGGATCCACCTCACTTTAAAATGGGTGGGTATATTATATGGTAATTTATGGAGATTTATTATAATGTTATCAACTAGCTGCGCACTCATTTGCTGCAGACCAGAATGCTTCCCTGTCTTCCTATCACTAGTCCCTGTCATTGGAGATTTGCACCCAGCACCTTGGCTTTTTTGATCCTGGATTGGTTCTCTCCATCTCAGTCACTGACTTTGACTTTTCTGTAGCTGACTGTTTCCAAAATCTTTACTTCAAGCATTCATCTGTTGATCAATATTTTCCATACTTCCAGTAGTCCTTCGAATTCCAGCAGTTCTTCAAATTTATTTGGACCCTTAATTTGTTGATCTCTCCCTCCCTCAAACCTAAACCTGAACAGCTAATTAATGTGGAGAAAAAAACACTCAAGCATGTCAGCTAGTTGCTTTTTGAATTCATGGTCATGCCCTGGCTGGTGTAGCTCAGTTGGTTGGCGCATCATCCTGTCTACCAAAAGGATGCTTGGGATTTGATTCCCTGTCAGGGCACATACTTAGGTTGCGTGTTCAAATCCCAGTTGGGGCATGTATAGAAGGCAGCCAATTGATGTTTCTCTCTCACATTGGTATTTCTCTCTCATTCTCCCCCTCCCTCTCTAAAATCAATTAACATTTAAAAGTAAAAAAAAATAAATTTATGGTCACTATACCATAACTCTACTTGATTTTGTTGATATGTTAGCGTTTCCCTTCCCTACAATGACTATCTTACTTTTCCTTTCTCCTAAACCCTCCCCATATGTGTTGATCTGATGATCATGCCTCCTTGTCATGCTTAATAAAGATAAGCAATAAAGGAGGAGCCCTCTCCTTGTTTCTCACCATTCTCTCAAACCTGTAACCACAGTCTCCACTTCACTCCTGTGTCTGTGAATGAAGTGTTCCTGACTGTCTCGAACATCAGCCTCTCCCCTTGTGCCCTGGCCCATCCCCTCTCAGTGCTCAGGACAGGGCTCCAGCAGTGGTTTGATGGCTAGAAACTCGAACCCTGGAGTTGACTGCCAGAGTGTGAATCTCGGCTCTGTTGCCTGGTAGGTGTATGAACTTAGGAAAGTTACGAAGTTTCTTTGTACCTGAGTTGCACCTCTGCACAACGTGGGTATTAATGTAATCTACCTCACAGGGTTGCCATCCTGTAGGTTAGAGGACAGAATTTAGCAAAATACCTAGGACAGGTCGAGGCCCCCAGTGAGGGCTGTGTCCACGCTGGCTGCGTCTCACATGGCCGGCCTCCCTCCTCTATGGGGCCCTTCAGCTTGCAGACAGGGCCTAGGAATTTCGTTTCTTGAACAAATAGCAGCCTCCCCACCCCCCCAAAAAAACCACACACACACAAAAAACAAACAGAAAAAAAAGAACCCCAACCCTTCCCTTCACATTTCCCCAGCCCCCTGCTACCACTTCATTTCTCTGCTGGAACAGCAAAGCTTCTTGATTCCATCCACTTCTCTTCACCTTTAATCCTCTTTCTTTCCAAGCCTTTCTCATCTGGATTGCTGCAATGGTGTCCTAATACACACATTGTAAATCAGATAATGTCACTGAACTCTTCAGAAACCTCTCCCGGGAGCGAAACTCATGCTCTTACTCTGACACACAAAGATCAGTATTGATTAGATGTAGCCACAGTGATGCTGAGGAACAAACCACCCTAAAAACTCTGGCGTAAAAGAACTCTTTCTCCCGGATCAGCCAGTCAGCTGGTTTCCTCCCACTCCCCGCGGTCAGTGGGGAGCTGCCCGATCTAGGCTTTGTGGACCGGGCAGCTGGCTGCACAGCAGGTGGGCCTAGGGCCATTCTGCTCATTCTCAGGTGTCTCCTTCTCCTCTTGGGACAAGTTACCAGCAGGCAGTGGAAGAGCACAAGAGGGCCGGCCCAGGCATTTGAACACAGTTGTTGTATCACATCTGCTGATATAGCTCATTGACCAAAAGGAAGTTCATGGCAAAGCCGGAGTTCAAGAGCAGGGAAATAGATTTCTTCTTTTGTGAGAGGAATTACAAAGTGGCATGTTGAAGGACATATGTGCATCTGTGTGTGTGTGTTCATGCATGTGACGGGGGTACTGGGGCGGGTAATTCAGGATACCACACCGCTCTCTGACGTCTTACACCAGTTATCCCCTCACCCATGATGTTCTTGCTGCACGGGGCCTTCTTTCTGCTCCTTGAACACAACAGATTCCTTCCTTCTCTAGGACTGTTTGCACTACATTATACAATGCTGTACATTTATTGGTAGCTGTAGCACTAAAGTTTGCTTTCCAGAGTATTCCAGTGCCATGACAGCTATTCCTTTTATTCTTCCCTTTTTAGCCCATTATTTTATTTTTGATGATCATGAGAGCACTCATTGACTTCTGGATAGGTCCAAAAGCCTTTAGATTCACCATCAAATCGATAAAACACTTTTATTTTCCTCTAATACTGTGAAACCTGCCAAAAGATGACGAACAAATTAATTTGCTGTACATTTGATCGATAGGAATAATGGGCAGTGGGCAGAACGCTGAGAAGAAAAAACAAGTTTAATGGAACTTTAGAATTTGGGAGTTGAGATGACTTAGATTTTGTGAGCTTCGTAATTTAATAGATGCTATTTCCTAATCATTTGTAAGCTAATTTTGGTTTTCTTTATTTGCATTACAACATACCAGTGGTCAGTTGGGTGTCCATTTTTCTCAAGCATTCCAGGCGTGTGTGGAGTAATCTGAGACTCTGGAGGAGCAGGGTTTGCAAAGATGGAGGGTCAGATATAACGTGTATGTCTGAGGTCAGGGGTTAGCCCACGAGGCACGTCAACCCCAGGTGCAATGGGTGAAAGGGACCAGTGGAGAGAGGATTCAAGGCATTGTCCTTTCTGCTTCCGAGAGAAGAAGGAAAGGAGAGGGTTTTGAGATCTGGGGGAGCAGATATGCTGCTTCCTTATTGCTGGCTTAGGGAGAGCGTGCAAGAATGACTCTCCTGGTGGAACAAAGGGGAGACCTTCCAGCGGCACTCAGTGGGCTCAAGAGAGTGTGGCTTCTGCACTGTTGTGAAGCCCATCATCCTCCTGACTGATTAACCTCTCAGTAGCTACATGGTCGAGGGCTTTCAGCAGGTCATATACTATAATAAATGCTTTCTACCTGAACTGGTGTAACCTGCACAGTTTACCTATGACTGGGAGAAGCAGTGAGCATCGTTTACATGTGGGGCAGGAAAGATATGGGAGGCCACCCTGGGCTCCTGTTGGAGATCAAAGGGCACTAACTTCCCGAAAGCACTGGCTGAGTTTTATCAACTAGGAGTCCATGTTGTTTATTTGCATTTATCCACCCAGCATTCACCTGGAGCAGTCACCTGCCTCTCACTCTGTAACATTCCTATCACTATCCAGGGACACAGCTGCACTCTTGCTTAGTTCCAGGTCCTCAGATCAGATAACCACACTTACGTCTCACTACAGCCTTGTCCTGCCAGTCATCTCCTCTCTGGCCTCACTGTTTCCATTCCTGGGATTATAAAAGAGTACAGGGAACTAAGGTGGATGAAGCTGGTGGGCACGAGAGCAGCTTGGAAGGGGCCTTGGTATGGCTTGAGCCACCTTTTGCTAACAGTCCAACTGGCTGCTATGGAAGACCAGAAGTAGCAGCAGTTAACACTTATGAGTAGTTCTACTGAAATGTTCTGTAGCAACCCCCATCTTGTGCCAAGGGTTGTTAACAGCATCAAATGAGATGATGCAGATGAGTCTATTTTGTAAACTATAGTCCTAGGTGTAGGGTACTTTTAGTGCTTTGGAAAGACTGTCTCTCCCTGTGGGAGATTGTTCATGCCCACCCTACTGATGCCAGGCTTGGTCATGTGACTTGCTTTAGCCAATATCATGTGAGTGGACGGGTACATTTCTGGGCAGATGCGTGAAGAGCCAGCACAGGGTTTTCCATGTTCTCTGCTTCTTGCCCCTGTTTTTGTCAGCTGAGTTCTCTGGTAGCTTCTGTAAGCAGACAAAGCCCATTGCTGACCCAGGATGGATATACACATGAGTGAAAATAAAATGTGATTGTAAAATGCTCAGAGTTCTCAGGTTGTTTGATATTGCAGAATAGCCTGGCCTACCCCAACTGATACAAAGTTAAACCCAGGAAGTCTAGGATGTTTCTGGAAATTAGGATTCAGTTGTGAAATGGAATGCTACTATCAAGAACTAAGATTAAAACACTTGGGAAAATTCCTTGGTTTCATGTTAAAGAGAAGAGGAAGTTGCCTTTTTACTCCTTATTGCCTCTTTCATTTCTCTCCATGTCTTGTGGTTTGGCATATACATAACCCAGTGTGCAGAAAATGCAATACACTGTATTTATTTTTACCTTTTCTTTATTTTCGGTGTGCACACGTGGTTTCATATTAGTGTTAGGGGATGTGGCCAAACTGACTACTGCATTTAAAAAATCACTTTAGACATTTGTTCTCCATTATCTTTTTATGAAGTGTTATGCAGTTTGTTGAAAAAAAATCTCATCTGTGAAATAGAATAGTTTGTTTGTTTGAAGAACAGTTAACAGCATCACCTCAGTTTAATCCATTAAAAGTTTTATTTTTTAAAATTAAGGATTCCTGAAGCTATTACTCACTTAGTTTTTAAGTGAAAATAAGAATGCTCTAAAAGCATTACTGCCATTAAAATAAATTTCATGAAATAAATAACTATTTTTTCAAACAAATCTGATTCTGTAAATCAGAAGTGTGTAGGATTAAAAAAAAATAATTGTGTGACTTGACCAGGGAAAAATAGAGTGAATGACTTTCCAAGGTTGCTTTGTATATATGTGGGTGTACAATCTTCATTTGTATCTGTATTTTATCTATGCATGTGTGTGGAGCGAGAGAGAATGATTCATAATTTTTTACTTTGTTTTTAGGATTTTTACTGTATTCTTGCACAAAGAATACAAGAACAGTATCAAGAAACATGCAGCTTTCTAAGGTATGCATTTCTTGTAAACAATTTTATAGTTTTAGAGGAAAGTCATTGATATTTGATAGTTTTAATTTGAAATTCAGGGTAGTCTCCTATAAATGTCTACTATGGTGAAAGCCAATAGGGTGTATTGAAAAGTACATGGGCCTTGAAGACACACAGACCTGGATCTGAATCCCAGTATTTTCATTTGTTAATTGTGTGTTGGGCGAGTTAACACACCTTTTCTAACATGCCTCAGCTTTTTCATCTGTAAAATAGACATAATAGTACATTCCTCTATGTTGTAGATTAAATAAGACAGATTTTTTAATCTTTGGTTTTATCAGGATACCTACAAGAGTGCCTGAGACTTAATACAAATTCAACAATATTTGTTGAATAAAGGAATTACGGAATGATTAGCATAGATGAAAATAGTAAAACTGTTACATAAAGCCCATGGGTTTGCATCTATTTCTGGATGCCATATTCTCTTCTACGGCTCTGCCTGTTGCAGAAATACAACCAAATCAAGCAGTGCAGTCATTGTAGAAACCAGAAGCATGTTGTCTGTGTGTGTTTGTGCATGTATATGTGTGTGCGTCTCAGAAGACTGTTCATTGTATGATTTTATAACACATGCAACCACTGAGGCAAATACATCTTCATGCTTTTAATTTCCATATGATTCATGTATTTACCATAACTGATATCAGACCAGTTGTATATCACACTACCTGAGAATAAGTGCATGAATTAAACTGGACTGTAAAACAAGAAGCGGAAGCATCTTTAAAAACAAGGGTAATACCAAGAAGCTGAGAGCTATATAGCTTAAAAGCAGCTCAATTGATTTTTTAATTTCATTTAGTTTCGGTTTTGTATAGCAGTATTCTGATACCTCATCTACGTCTTCTGATCTGTTGGCCTCACTATCCCTCAGATTTTCTATTGATATACTATATTTTAAACCAGTGAAGAGCTGACTTCACTCTGCATCCACTTACATATACTGAAGGCTCAGGAGGATGAGAACTGGGAACTGTGGAGAAAGCCTTTCCAGGCAGCTCGGCCTCCTGCCTGTGCTGTGCTTCATTCCTCCCCCTTTCTGAGGACTGGCTTCCTTTGCTATCTTGGACACGATTCACCCGAGTTGCCCACAGGTGCTGGTGGCCTTGGCTGACGAGACTTCTAATCTAGCATTCATATCTTACTGCCGGAGGCTTTCTATGTCCCTCTTCCAAATTCCTGTGAGAAAAAAATTTTGATTAGGCCAGTCCAGCCCTGGATCAGCTGTCCACATACCAGCTGTATCCAGAGGGTAGAACAAATGCAGTTCCAGGGTTTACAGATGGGAAGTGGGAGGAGCCAGACCATTGCCTAAGGTCCAGCACCTGAGAGCATTTCACAGTCTTCTTTCAAAAATGAAGTTAAAGGATTCCATTTAAAAAAAATCATAGTAACTGAAAATATTGTAAGTTATTATTCTTTAAAACCAGATTTATTTAGTCAGCCGCCTCACCTCCCAAAGAACAAAGATAAAATCTAGAGGCGTAGAGTGTTATTAAGCCCAATCTCCTAGTAGGAACTATAGATGGATGACGTCTCAGAGTTCTGAAGCAAATTCTGAGAAAAAGCTATGCCTAGTGCTTACATTGTAAGTAATGCCTTGAAGTTCCGTGGAAAGCTAAAACCTGGAAATTATTTAACAACAAAGGAAGAATTATTTCAGAGACTATGTTGAAACATTATGGAAGACTAGCAAGTTGATAAAAAATAAACACCAGATGTGCCTGTTAAAGTAGAAAAGGACTACAGATCAGGAAGAAGGAGTTTAAAGTGATTTGGCTAAGATGGAAAATCCAACATTCAAACTTAATAATTTTTAAAAAGGAGATGCTGTAATTATTTTAGTTTTAAGAGGCAGTATGCAGATAATAAAGAAGTACACTGGGGTTCCTTTGTTATTGGCAAATTCATATGTGGAAGACCTAACTGCCACTGTGGCCGAATTTAGACATGGGGCCCCTAATTAAAATTGAATGAGGCCATAAAGGTGGGACCCTGATCTGATAAGGTTAGTGCCCTCATAAGAAAAGGCACCAGAGGGGTCCCTCGTGCATTCTCCCTCCACGCCCATGTGTGGAGGAAAGGCCATGGAGGACACAGTGAGGAGGGGGCCATATGCAAGCCGGGAGCTGGGCCCTCAGCAGGAACCAAATCAGCCAGCACCTTGATTTTGAACTTCTAGTCTCCAGATCTGTGAGGAAATCGATTTCTGTTGTTTAAATGACCTATGGTATTTTGTTATGGCAGACGATGCCATCCTTTGAATCCTTTTTGTCATGAAATTTGTTATCCAGATATTATTGTTGTGTTCTCTGTGAGCTTCTCCCAGGCCAAAACAAAAAAAAATCTGCACCGTTTCTCAGAGAACTGTGAGTAAGGAAGCCAATGTATTTTCTTTAAAATGTGTGAGTGGTGTCAACATCTTTCCTCTGTCAGAGGTAAAGTGCTTGTCCTGTTGGGTGTCTGGATGAGGAGACTTTAGGGTGTGGATGCCCAGAGTTGAGTTAAAGTGTGTAACTTAAATATATTTTGAGAGTTACATATTAATTTATCTGTTTGGAAATGCAGTGTAAATCTCAATCCCATAAGCCCTAGAACTGCTTTTCTCAGTTCTGCTACCTCTTGCTTATCGGAGCCAAAATCAGCCTAGCGTTATTGTAAGGCCTGTGGACAGTCACAGGGATAAAAGGTTATTGCCAGCACATCTCAAACACTCCACAATCCTGTCATATGACTGTGTCGGGAACAGGGGTTGTGTAAGGTAGGCTTGCTGACCAAGAGAGGTAGAGGTTCTTAGACATGATAAAACGTGATTTGATCAGAGACTGGAGTGGCCTTGGCCCTAGACTCTTTGTTTATTCATATATTATCACCCAGTGAACAAAGTCCAAATTCCCACAACTTTTCATCAGAGGCCTATAAGCCACTTCTGGCCTTCAGGCTTTTTTAAAAAATTTACTAACCTTTAAACACTTAAATATCTCTCATAAAAATCAAGCCTTTTGGCTTCTCTTTTTAGAAAAAGCAACAAAGAGCTGGCTGGATCAGAACAAAGTATATCCCTTGGAAAAGGCCTCAAGGTCCCCAGTCTCTACCACTCCCTAATGTCTTTTACCTGTCCTACTTTACTCATTCCCATTACTCGTGGGTCATTTGGGATCAGCGACCTTTAAGGAGGTTGCTCTAAACCAAACTTCTTTTTCTCAAAAAGCCTTTGGAGAACTGTATCAGAACAACAGGCTCAAATACTGAAAATCGGTCAACTTTACTGATTTTTTCACAAATAAAATATGAAGGAGGGGCTCCATTAGAATGGTTGTTAATGGGTTGAAAAAACAAACAAAAACTCCACCTTGGGGAAATACAAACTCATCCCTGGGCAATTAGACACAGTCTTTGGAAGAAAATTGAATTTTGCAACTTAAAAAGTAGTATTTGCCTTTCTACTTGGTACCTGGAAACATCCTAGATCGTATTAAACAAGACACGAGTAAGCATGCTGCTTGGCCACTCTGAGGACTCAGTGGTACCGGTAAGTGGAGGCATGGACATGCCTAAGGTGTAAGCAAAGGGCCGAGAGGAGTGACTGCATAGGGAGTGAAAGGAGGGAGAGAGGTGGGGGAAAAGAATAGAGGAGGTCTAAAGGAGAAGGAGAGAGGAGACAGGAGGGGCATCATGGGGTTCCATTAGCAGTTCTTTTAAAACCAGTGTTTGCATTCACTTTTGTTCTGGGCTGTTATTGTTAATTAATCCACCAGATGGTGCTCTGAAATACCAAATAAACCTCAGTCCTTAATTTAAAAAATTACCTTGCCTGACCTGCCCAGGATTGACAGTTATCAAAACTGGAAAGGAAGCATGCCTGACTACTCGTTATTTGAAAAAATATATAACTATGTAAAATGTTTTTATTAGGTGGATGCAATTTAGGAAAATTGGAGACGTTTAATTTTGTTCTTTTCAGTTTTCTTAATATTGTCTTTATACTTTATAAACTATAAAATTTAAAAACCAAGAGAATCATGATGAATATTTATTCCAAAACAATTTATGTGCATATATTCCTCTCCTAGTACTTAGGGCTGCAATGGGTCTCTTTTAGAACCATCTGTCCCCACTGTGTATCTGTGGGATGATGAGGAAAGTTCATTATAGGAGCCAGGTTGTCTGCTTTCAGCCTGGGCTTGTCAGTCACGCCCTGGGTCCATTCTCCGCATTTTTGTCTCTGTCTTAGTACACTTCCATCCTCCGGGCACCCCTCAGCAGCTGAAGTCTGACTTGTTCACCTAGCACCCAAGCTTTTCTCTCGGCTGCTTCCGAACAATGTTCCCAAATAGGTCTGACTCTATTCTCAATCCCATAGACACTGGAAGTGAATTTAGACTCTTGAGAAAAGTCTCTAATTTGTGACACAATATAAATTCAAGGGGAAAAATAAGTGACATGAGGGGAAATATGCATTTGGCATTTAACAGCCATAATATATGACAAATGACAGTGTGACTATAGCAACACTGTATTTTTGAAGTTAACCTGTTTTGAGTTCAGATTCTGACTGCCACACATGTTACCCATATGATGATGCCAAAACACGACAGCCTCTTTGAACCTCAGTTTTCCTCTCCTGTGTAATGGGGATAATACCTACTTTGCATGGCTGTCTTGGAGATTAAAGGTTACATATTTAAAGCAGCTTGGTCAGTAGGCTGCCCATCAGTTTCAGTGCCTTTTCCTTTTCTTCCTTACCTTACTCCTGTGCTCCAGCTCTAAATGTGCCCTCCAGTGCCAGTAACAGGGACACTGATGTGCTCCCCCCCCCGAGCCTTCCTCCCGCCCGGTAATCTGCTCCCAAACTATCCTTATGCTGACCACTGCCTGGGGCTCCACCATCTTGCTGCTGCCAGTTCCTCACTGCCTCTTTGTGCTCTGTGCTCTGGAACAACCACCTGATGACG